TGAAGAGGAAGGAGAGGAGGATGAGGCTTAAGCCCCCCTGGTGTCAAAGGAACTTCTGTAAAGCAGGCATGCATACTGAATGACTTCTCATAGTGGTCGTGAAGCATGTTTTCTAGAAACTGTGTACCCAATTATCCTCTCAGCACCTGTAACTTTGGCAGATTTCTCAGTGTAACAGTTCCAAATCCCAGTTATTACAATGTTTTTTGTCCTTTAATGTTATGAGCACATAAAGGCATGTATTCTAGATCACGTTTTGTCTTTCTTGACACCTTTATTGGACATAGGACAGCTGTTCTTCCTGTGTGGCATGAAGTGAGTTTAAAGACATTTCAGAAGTCTTGCAGCACATTTGTGTGCTCTGATTCACTGAGGCTTACTTAGTCTCAAAATGTATGTTTCTCATGCAAATGTTTAATTTTTTTTCTTACAGGACTCAAACCTACCTATTACTTGAATGAAAATGGAAAGCTATCTAAAATTTCTAAACAAGGCAAAGGACAAGCACCTCTAACTTGTTTTAGAGTTTAAGTCAGCGTAGGAAATCTTCCACTTGTCTATTGAAGTCCTCTGCAAAACGCAGGTGTAGATTATGCTTTCCTTCTGGCATCAGGAGCAACCTTAAAAGAGAAAAAAATCAAACTGATTATACATTTTATTCTGTGAGTATAGCTAATTAATTATTTGTTGCCTTTTCCTTGCTCTTGGTTACCCAATAAGGAACTGAAGTAACTCTTGTTTTAAGTACTGTCCCTAAGTATGTGGTTCAGAATGTCAACCACAGCAACAGTGGAAGCAATAAGGATACTACTTGCCCCACTTTGGGGAGGATAAATTATGTTTAAAACAAATTGTTGTGTCCTAGACCCAGTTTCTTGAAACCTTTCTGGTGATCTGCAAAGAAGATAAGATTGCAGTGTGAGCAGGATGCATCTTTGAAAGGTATGTTAAGTAGCTGAGCACTTTTATCTCTTTGAGAGCAGTAGTTGTGCTGGGCAGTGAACACATAGAAGAGATCACTGCACATCTTGTCATGACCCAAACCTGGTTAGTATTTTAACTTGGTCTAATCTTTCTGCAAAAAGACAATCCAAAACTAACACTATTCATCCATTAAAGTAAAAAGGGAAGTCAGAACTTCTTTGGCTATAACAAGCTTAGAAGTAGTAGCTGTGAAGAAGGTTAAATCTTTCTAATACTGATATGAGCATGACATGCCTAAAATGCTACTTACCATTGCCTGCTATCTGGGACAAACTTTATACATCAGGTATGTACTTCTAGCATTCTTCATACAGGGTGGGAAGTTCTGGAAATTGTTTTGTCCTACCATATACTAAGCAGTTTCAACAGAGCTAAAGCCATTTTTGACTGATATTTTCTGTTGCCTTCATGCAGCAAGGGGGATTTGTCTTCTTTTGGTGACAAGCGCTGGGGTTTTTTGGGGTAGAAAAAAGCAATATCATGTGAACATACCCAGCTTTTCTAGCAAACTGACTATTTGTCTGACTGACTGAATTTCATGAAGACTGTGTTTTTCAAAGACTAAGCAGTACACAGACGCACAAACTTATAGCACTGTGCATGCTATTTTTTACTGCTCTTAATGTTTCCTACTACTGCAATGCTACTTAACTCCAGCCATACCATGCTAATGCACTATGATGGCACAGTCTGCTACCATGAGAGAAACAAGCAATGTATCTGCACTACAATCATAAAAAAAACCTTTTTCTACTTTACTACTAGATAAAAATCAAGGCAAGAAAAGCTGATGGTAGAAGCATGTGTTACTGAAAATATGCTAAATTTAAGGTTTTCCTTCTGCTTCACAATGGAACATACCATTTCCAGTGCAACCAGGGAAGAAGGAGACCATGTACCCAAGCATTAATTTCTGAGAATACCATTAGTCTGGTTTCTTTTCTGATAAATATGCATACAGGGGAGCACTTCAGCACAAAGACATGCAAAGAATCACTTTATTGGATGGCTATTTCTAACAGGGTTTCTTTTTTGGCTTGTCTTCCAAAGAGAAGCTATCACATCCTTGTCTAGTTTTTGTGATGACTTTCCTTAGTCAGCATATGGAGCATTTCAGAGCTCAGTGAAATCAATCAGGACGATAGGTGTTCTGAGCAGGGCATGTAGGAGTAACTAAATAGCAGACATAGAATAGAATAAAACACCTGCATGTGATTGTTAGGAAGGTCTGTTGTTCTCATCTTTCCTGTGGCATAATGCATTCCTACGATCAGCGCAGCTGACTTTGAGATAAATATATAACTCATTTTTGTACAGAAATGACAAAAATGAAACAGTTTCCTACACTTTACATTCATAAAAATGTGTTTTTTCTCCTGCTACTTATGTTCTCTAGTGGTAATCATTGCAGTCTATTATTAAGTAGTAATAGAGCTCTTGCATTTGTGTGCAAATTTATGAAGAAAATTCAGCTGGTAAAATCCCAGCTTTTCACAGAAAGCATTTATGGAATTTTCAAATTTTGCTTGTTTTGGCTGGGATAGAGTTAATTTTCTTCACAGTAGCTATTAGAGGGCTGTGTTTTAGATTTGTATTGAAAACAGTGTTGACAATACAGAGATATTTCTGTTATTGCTGAGCTGTGCTTGCAGTGTCAAGACCTTTTTTGCTTCTCGTACTGCCCTGGGGGTACACAAGGAGTTGTGAGGGGACACAGCTGGGACAGCTGCCCCTAACTGACCAAAGGGATATTCCATACCATGTAGCATCATGCTCAGCATGTAAAGCTGGGGGAAGAAGGAAGCAGGGATGTATGGAGTGATGGCATTTGTCTTCCCAATTGCCTGTTATGAATGATGGAGCCTGGCTTTCCCGGTGCTGGCTGAACACTTGCCTGCCCATGGGAAGCAGTGCATTAAGTCCTTGTCTTGCTTTGCTTGCATGTGTGGCTTTTGCTTTACCTATTAAACTGTCTTCAAACTCAAGTGTTGAATTTTCATTGTTACTCATCTGATTCTCTCTGTGATCCCACTGCTGGGGGAGTGAGTGGTATTTAGTTGCCATCTGGGGTTAAACCACAACACACATGAAGTAGATAGTGCCCTGAGATTTTACTTGTTCATAAAGTAATATCTCTGAGCACAATCGTAAATTTTTCTCTCATTCTGCTTTTCTTAAAAACACTGAAAATCCATGGGACTGTTGGAAACAAAAAAATCTTTGAGGTTGTTCACATCAGTAAGGCAGAGCAAACATGAGTAGCCTGTGCTTCTCTCTCTAATAACTGGGAATTTCTCTTCATTCATAGCATCTAAGTTCACTGTTCTGAATGGGCTAGAAATGAGGTCTCTTACAGCACAAAGAATGCAATGTTCATAACAAACAGCAGAAGTTTGCTCATTTTGCTAAATATTAGGGAGTGATGGTTCCGTGTATCTTACAAGTATCTTGTTTTTTTTCTCAGAGGGCTTTAGGAAGAAGCTTATCTAAATACTATATTTTTTTATATTGCAATAAAGGCCCAGCTACACTGTTTGCATTGTAACTTGCTAGAGAAGTTGAGAATAGCACACTCTGTGGCAGAGACAGCTTGTCCAAATACATTTTTAAATGCTGTGGGTTTGAACTGCTGCATTTCTTCAACAATGGTTTATAAAACTTACCGAGAGCCTTTAATGTGCTTATGAATGTATTCTGCATGAGCTTGTGGAACCAAAGGGTCTTTCTCACCATGAATTATAAATGTGGGGCATTTAATATCTGGCAGCAACTGTTGGCAGATATTACCTAGGGAGAAAATAAAGGAAGGTCACACTTTGTTTTAAAATAGTATAAAAGGCTGAAACAACTTCTCTGAAGGACTGAACTTCACTGGGTTCTAGCTATTGCCTCTCCTTGTGGATAGTGCCTTTAATCTCCACAGCTATGTAACCAGCACTATAATTAACATTTCTTTCTCTAAAATGTTACTTCACCGCAATTTGTTTCATTAATGGATAATAGGACAAAAAGATAGAGAAAATGAAGTAATTCTGTCCCACATTTCCCCCAGGCTCCTTGACTCCTCAAAGCCAATATGCTCATCTCCTTCCTGGCTTTGTTCTTTTCAGCCTCAGAGTCTTACGGCCCTCCTGTTAATGAGACATTTTGTTACACCTGTTGTCAGGTTACAAGATTTGCTACTTTCATGAGTAAGTTAATTTAGGATGTACTCATGCCTGTTGCACCCCCCCAGACCCTTTGCTGTCTGCAATGCATAACCATTTAATAGAAATTGTAGTCAAACTACTCAAAGGTTATTTCCCCTGCCCATTCCTTACAGAACCTCAAGAATAATTTTATGCTTACTAGTTGTTAATCTCATTAGAAATAATTTTAATGCTTTTCCTTAAAGACTCTTCTGTATTTTCCCCCCTTTCTTTTCCCCTCATCCCTTAGTAACTCAGTCTCCAAAAACACTGCCTAACTTCCCATGTTTTCACAAGGGAATCTTTGGGCAAAACACCCATGATGAGTTTTATGTTCTCCTTCTCTTTGAGCTAACTTTGCCCTATTTTGTAGTTGTCACATTGCAGCTACCAACAGCTGTAAGGTTAACGCTCATACACGTGCATTTTCTTCAGCTCTAAAGGCAAAGGCTATTTCACAGTTTTTCCAATTGCTTGGTTATTTATACAGTCTTAGTTTGCAGTTCTACTGATTAAATATTTTCATTTAGAAAATTTCACCCATAGTCCTCAAACACCTGCACAAATGTTGACTGTTTTTCAGAACATGTAACAAGTAAATTTAGGTTATTTTCCTAAGGACATAGTTGGCAGTCAAACTATTATTTCCTAGTTTCCAGTCCTAAAACTGTTTTGTACTATAAGCACTAGATTATATTTACTCTAAAGGCGTGGAACAGCAAGAAAAATCTTGAATTTTGCAACTCTATGCAACTTAGTTTCATTAAGTGTTGGCTCCTTCTTAAAGCTGTCCAATTTAGGGCAAATAGTCTATGTCTTAAAAAGAGCTTGAGTTTTTGACCAACATGGGCTTTCCTGTCTTCCTTTTACCTCTGGCAGGTTTTATTAACCCCTTTTCTTGTATTTGCCATGACTAAGCCTTTGGCACAGTGTCTCAACTGTGCTTCCAAGGGGGCCTGTTTGTAGTCTAAGTCATTCTCCCCTGGAAAAAAAACTGCAGTCTGATAGCTGCTGATCTCTTTTAGCAATCATTAGGCTTCTTTCAATATCTGACCCAGTTTCAGCATCTAGGTAATTCACCTCCTTGTTACATGTCTCCAGGTGGCTTATTTTTCACAATCACTTCATCTCATAGTGTCTGAGGCATGTGCAGGCAGTGAAAGAATGTCACAGCCACAGTTTCAGCAGTCTGGGCTTTGGACTTAAGAACAAACTAGTTTTAAGGAGACACACGATAGAAGTGGTAAAATAAAATCAGGTCATAATTTGTTACATCACTCTGCTGTGAGAAATTCTAGTCCCATGTTGCTGATTCTGTGAAAAACATTTTGAAAAAAATACTAAACAAAGGAATGTTTTCCTTGTAGTACCTGCTGCCTGTTAATGCATGTGACTTTCTGTCTTTCATTATGAGAGCTACAGGAAAATGTGTGTAAGAGTTACAGACTTTTTTTTTTAATGTATCATGTATTTCTGCTTTAGGCAAATTAAAAGCAAATTTCCTCTGAATTAAAATGAAACTGCAGATTATTATTTATTATATCCTTGGCTGGAAAAGTCTACATAAAGTAATTGCAGAAATCTTCAGAGATAAACAATTATATCATCTAGTTCAACTACTTTTTTGAAAACACCTAAACTGTGTCAATACTGTTTTGAAATGTGTTTTGTTAATTCTGATTTCTCAAAATCTGAAGTTCCTTCTTTTTGAACTCATATGCTGCTAGGTTTGAAACAGTTCTTCAGCTCCAGTTTGCAGAAACTGGAAAGAACATGCCGTGCTTTTGGGGTATCTTAACAATGTCACCAAGAGGTATTCCTCTGACACACAGACAAGAGAAGAGAAAAAGATTCTGCTTGAGCAGAATCCCTGCTGTTTCATCTGCACAAAAACAAGGACTTAATGTAGTTTTGTGGTGGAACAAGAGGAGAGACTCATCAGCTAATGTTTTCCATAAATGTGTTTTTTTTTCCTGTACCTTGCTGGTTCTGTGAACCATCTACAAAGTATTTGTGTTATTCCTGGGTGTGAGTCAGACCCAGGTTTTAATGCCATATGCAGATTCCTTCCTTCATTGGCTGCTAGGAGTAATGTTAGATTTTTATCCAGTACTGTCTGCTACTATACTTGCTCCAGTTCAGCCTTACCATCTGAATTTTCAGCAAAGCGAGATATTCCATCTACCCAAGCCTCACAGGTTTTTGCGAAGTACTGGTGTCCATACATATCTTCCAGTGGTTTCTTGACCTTTTCACTCCATTTGGAAACATCTCGGATGCCTACATAAAATAACATTGAAATAAGTTAAGTCCCTTCCAGCAAAAAGATACAACCTGTACTGTCAACACCTAACATGAGGAAGTTTTCAAACCAGACCACAAATACGTATCTCAAACTTGAAACTGCAATGAATGGTTTTAAATAATTCATAGTATGGAAAAGGTCTAAAAAAAGATAGTTGTGCAATCTCTGCTGGGGTCTCCTAAGTTGTAGAGGATCATCTTATTCTTATGGTCACAAGGAACAACAGGAAAAAAATAAAACCAAAGGACTCAGTCCTAAAACTTCTGATTTGGAGGGCTTTCAGAAGAGAAGCTCAAGAAGGTACCCTGTGTATAAAACCAGCATTATTTTATAACAGTGTGCCAGAGCTGGCAATTCTTTTTTATATCCTTTAGCCTTTTGCGTTGGCTCATGGATGGAAGTTCTTCCATGACTCCTACCAGCTCTCAGAGGAAGGAAGCTTTTACTAAGACATTCCAGCAGGCTGACATCATGGTACATTTGCCATAGTCTTACAGAAAAACAAATGACTGTACTTAGTAGAGTCCTGTGACTCATGGGAGGCTGGCTAAAGCTGTACAAATAACTGACATTGTAGTTGTTTATTTATCAGATTTACTTATTTGTTTCCTCTAAAGTTTTCAGTACTGCTCACAAACTAGTTATCCAAAAGGGTGACTTTCACTAAAATATATTGCTGCTGTACAGCTTTATTTTGATGAAGCCTGAAACAGAGTTGGCATAACTGAGAACCTGAGAGTACTGAATCATCAAACAAGCAATATATGCCACTAGCAAAGCTTTTAATTTGCTTTAAATGGGAAGTAAGGAAAGAAAGGAGTGAGGTGTTAATTAACAAACAGAACCTGCCCAGCAAAATTACAAAGGCAGCAGTGGCTGAAAGTGTTTTCTTGCAGCATCTGATTGGAAACTAATTTGCTCACCCCAGGCTAGGTGTTAGTGAACAGCTGTTTCCCATATACAATCTACTGTTCTAGCCTTGTGGCTGGCCTTAATTTAAGAAGAGAAGGGAGAAGGCAATGTTGAAAGGACATAGATACCAAATAAGCACTTCCTCTCCTATGAAACCCTCCACTGCAGCTGATAGGCATTGATGAACCAGCTATAGAAGGCTTGTGCTGCTACACACAGAGAGATGCTGAAAGCACTAGCCCACAAAGAGACCAGAGGTCAGCATTGCTGTGGCTGTTCCATGTAAGGTAAGACTTTCTTTTTTTTTTTTAATATTTTTGGTTTTTATGTTTTAGCCTGTTGCTAACTGATGTGGATTTCATATTGTGTAATAAAAACTTCATAAATATAAAAGCATGAAAAGAAATAAAGGAGCACTTTTACAGAGCTAAAAAGCATTTTACTTTCTGAACTAAAAAATACACTACTATTTCCACTGAAAAGTGCTTTAGTATAGGTGAGGTAAATTCACAGGTACAATGCATATACTTGTAATTTAGCTGAAGCCAGACAGTCAGATTTCACAGCTTGTATAAATCAAGCTCAGTCACTAAAATGAAACTATGCTGGGTCACATTTATTGAGAGCCTACATGGTTAACTTTTAATTTCTACTTCCCAAAAGAAATGGGGTCCCTTTATGAGTTCACTAGCAGCTCTTGCTATTTTCCTTTATAGGGGGAAGTGATCACATTCTATTTCATGTGAGTGGCATTAGGATCAGAAATTCCACGTTTGTTTACTTTGCAAAGGCTTTCTAATGACAATAATTAACTTTAAAGGAATGCAAATTATAAAGGCATCTTGGGAAGCTTACTTGAATGATTCATTTGCTTCCTGAACTCAAATGGTAAGTTATGAACTTGTTTTCTTACTGTCTATATATTATCTAGGCCCTAGAGGCAAAAGCTGTTATGTACTAGGCCAGTGGTTATCTGTGGACCTTGTGCAAGATGTGTGAAAAGAAGTCAAACCTGGGGTCAACAGTGTTATTTGAATTGGAATAAATGATAATAAATTAGAATTTATTTTTAGCAATTTGTTATAGACACAAAAATTTGACTTTCTGAACACTACTGATAAGCTATTATAATTTATGCTTTTCAGCAGCATAAGTTGGTAAGGACTTGTTAAAAAAATCTATTATGTTACCCTTAGAGTAACTGTTAGGGAGTTTCTCACTATACCTTTAATCTAACCCTATTCTGCTAAATGTGGTGAAGTCTGTGTCCTGTTCATTTAGGTTTGTTGTGTCCTCAACTGCTTCCACTTAGCTGTTATATGACCAAGATTCTTGGATTAAGAAGAAATTAAAATAATTCATTTAGGATACAATACTCAGTTTGTACCTACCATTATAAATCCTCACATCCTCCTCTGTAACACTGGCATTTGCTCCCCAGACAACCAACTTGTGGATAAGGTTTGGATACTTCGCAGCTGCAATGAGTGCTGTAATTCCACCATCACTCCAGCCCAGCAAAGAGAACTTCTTAAATTTCAGTGCCTTGATTCATACAAGAAAGTTACATGCAAATCATTAGCTGGTTTTACAAGCAAATATCTAATATTTCTTGTAAATTAGCTGTACAGATTTAGACATAACACTGCATAGCTGAACTATAGTTAGCTTTCATAATTAGGAAATACAATTTTCCTGCTATACATAAAAATACTTAAGGGAAGGTCAAATATTTAGAAAATAAGAAAATATACCTGCCATTTCAATTTCCTAAAATTCTATAATGAAACAGGCAATATAGTCATATTAGATTCTTGCTACATTTAAAAAAGTCCCCCCCCCCAAAATGTTTCTTTACAATGGAGAGTAAAGGCTTTTTCAGAGAGCCTGATAGTATCAGGAATCTCTGAATTCTCTTGGTATGAAGTTGGCAAAGACTGTCACAGTGTGGATGGTAGTAATCCAAGATCAAGCTAAACTTAAGAAAAAGAAAAGCTTAAGACTTGAAAAATGGAACCCAGTGATTTAATTTATTGATGTTAGCTGAGATTAAAAAAAAAAAACCCCAAAAATCGGCTTAACAACCAAAAGCGTTTAAAGTATTTGTGAAAGGATTTGTATTGAGTTTTAGTGGCTGATTTCTATTTTCTGGAGCCTTTAAGTGTATATTTTAGATGTTACTTCATGGTGAACTGCAATTCAAAACACTACTAATGAAATTCCTCCTTCTTGAAAAGGAAGGCTCAGGGCAAAAGATTTGACAACCAAGACCTTAATTCATTCTGACTTGTACAATGCTTTCCACTAGAATTTGAAACTATTGTTTTCTCATCTATCACAATATGTGGTAGGGGTTACTGATAGAGACAGGAAAGAAGATTCTGTGTGTATTATGTTCAGTGGGCAAAGGGTGGGGAAGGTAAAGGCAATCTGGAGCAAACACGTCTGAGGGTTGTACATGGACAATATTCAATGGTCAAGCAATATTTGCAGTTTTGCATACAGAAGCCTTGGTTTGTCAACTCATTCACAAGCAAATATAAAGGTTTCAAAGTGGGTTTTGTTTTTCAGAAATTACAGCCTTTTAAATGTGATTATGGAAGATACTATACTTTTTGGGGAAAAAAGAGCAAGTTAGTTGAATGAGTTGCTTTGGTGTTTGGTGGTGTTGGAAGTCCAGGCCTGCTTTGCTGCACATAAGAAAGCTAAAATTGAGGCAATGAGAGAAACAACTACAGAGAGAGAAAAAGAAGTTTCTTGTCTGCTTGTAAACTTGGTGCTCAAGTGAGACATAGCTTTACCAGTCAACTCCATACTTAGCAAACTTCTATCCCTATAAAACTTTTCTGGTTTTAGCTTCTTCATTGGTAGTGTAGTATTGACCAATACTAGATTTCACTCTGCTAAGCTATAATTACTAAACAGTAAAGAAATAAGGTAAAGGAAAGAAAGGGACATATAAAGTAAGAGATGACAGCAAGAAAAAAGAACCTTGAACTTTAGCAGCTGATCAGAAGTTGGCCCTGGTCTGCTGGAAAAGTAGTTCTCTGTGAACAACTTTCATAATTGTGCTGCTGAAGGGTTACTAGAAGCTTGGCAGGTTTTGGGAGTTGGCAGCAGTGCCTGTACAGGTTAAGTTTTTTATGTTGTTGCTACTGCTCCCCTACTGCCAATAGCAACTTAGGGAGCTTAAAGTTGGCTGATGGGTGGAATAACTGACTAAAATTTTTGTCCTTTGTGCCAGAATATTTGAGATCTATTTGCCTCCAGTGTTTCTCTTGTTTATATCCATTATCTTGATGCATTCTTTGGGTTATCTCAGGATGCCATTCCAGCAGGAGGAATTTAATTTATCCTTTACAGCCTTCCAAAAGATGATGTGATGTAACAGATGTGTTGGATAAGGTATGCATGTTTGCTTGCTTTAATTTTGAACTGCTTGCAGTACAAGTCTCCACCTAACGCTGGTGATAACCTGAAAGCTGGTTGCACAGTGCAATTCTGTGGGTGATTTTGTGCTGCCTTTTACTATCTAAGTGGACAAAATTTCTTATGAAGACACCTCTTCCATCCAGGCCTGTGTGAAATGCAATCAAATGACCACATATGCTGTGACACTAGCAACATACAAGAGTGAGCTGCAATGCAAGAGCACTCTGAACTGTATGTTTTCACTGTTATCACAGGGAATGAATGTACCACAAGCAAAAGTTACAGCTGATCTACAAAAACATGGAGAAGCCCAAGGTCATTCTTTAGCTAGGTCATTCTAGCTCTGAAGAGTAAGAACTTCTTAAATATCACTAATAATTATTTGCCCAGTGATTGCTTTAATGTGATTGAGTTTGCTAGCATTAGACATTGGGAGGGAGTGCAGCAAAGGGGACTTATTTGCATTATACTCCTTTTGTTTCGAACGAACTCCTTCAAAGAACACATACAGGGATACAGAACAGTGTGCATATACAGTCATCTGCATAAAGGTGCTGAATACTCTGCACAATTTCAGCTTTTGTCATTTCACAGAGACCCTGCAGCATTCTTTGCTCCAGCAGAGAAACCAGAGTCTGAAGGTGACTAGAACAAAGGTTCTGAAGGCTCACCTATATGGATGTTTTTTTTTGGCTGAGTGTAGGCCAGATGACATATGTAAACCATTATGAAGCCCTCTGCAGGAATTATGGCTTTGGTTCAGTGTGGGAATTATAGTTGGAATGATTCCTTGGGATTTGTGCTATCCTTTATAATATGCTAAAACAGAAGCAAGTTACCCACACTTGGGAAGACTTTAATAATCTGTTATTATATGCTTATACTAAGAAATATCTTCAAAAAACCAGGATGCTACGTCCTGTTTGTTTTGGCAGCTCTAGAGATTGGTAGGCTGTCCTGTTTGACTTAGAAGCTACATGGTTATGTTCCCTTTGGGGAAAGCTGTATTCTCTATTTTGCATTTAATAGTATTTGAACAGAGACAGGAAAGAAGGTTACAACCATTTAGATTGAAAGTTTGTCAACTATTCATGGCAGCATCTTTATTTTCTTTGCTAGTGTAGCAGAAGAAATTGGTAATTTACAGTGTAGAGAGATTGCCTTTATGGTTAGAGGGCAAATCCGTGTCTTAATCCTGATTCTGCTGTCAGAGTTATTTTGTTTCACTATGCAGAATACACCAGGAAGGCTGCATTTCCAGTTTCAGATGGGTTTCAGCGAGGTTATTGTTTATTACAGAAATACAGTTGGATTGACTGTCTGAATCTTGTCTCATATTTTTGGAATTTTAATGCTCTGCCAACTTTCTTAAGATGACCAAACAGACTGTATAGCTTAACATAACAAGGCCAAAATATCAGTTAAAACTATACCAGAAAACAGTGTCAGCACTTCTAAGACTGAACAAAAACGGAACACAGTAACACAGATTTGAATAAAATATTCTGCGAGAAGGAGAAATAATAACAGCTTTAGGCCATGTTCTTTATAATCACAATATCTGCTTTAGTTATTAAGATTTGGTGTGATCACAGGAACCCTTTCATTTCCCACAAAAATTATTTCAGTAATATGCTGTAAAATGCAAAGCATCAAGTTAATTTTTAGACACAAATGTTTCTTGATATGGGCTGCTCAAGGCAAAATGCTGAGATTTTATTAGATAGAAATTTTTTAAGAGCCTTTCAGTACTGTAATCCCTTCAAAGAAACCACTTGCATAGATTTTGGTCTTTATATACATTTTGCCTAAACTTATATGGTTCTTGACTGCAAACCTCTTAGGGCAGGGTCTTGAAATAACAGCATATTGGTTTATAATTAATTCCCAAACTTGGCCTCTATGTATACTGCAGAGTTGATGGAAGAAGAAAATATTTTCCAGACTAGTATGTATCTGCTCACTTTTAAACCTTCATTTGTACGGTCTTTTGCATCTCAAAATTTAAGGAAAACAGCTTTTAAAAAGAAGGAAATAATGAAGTCTCAGAATAGATTTACCTGCATAAGATCCACAGCATCTTTTGCATCTCTCTCAAAGAAATCTGGAGGAAAGTCTCGAGATGGAGGAATGGACTGTCCATATCCTCGAGGATCCCAAGCAACAACCGTGAAAAGCTGCTTATTCATAGACTTGAGCTGTGGGCCAAAGTCAGTTTGACCACTCCCTGAAACATCATCATTTTTCAATTTTAGCAACCACCATAATACATGCGTAGTATACACACTTAGCCTAAATGGAAACTTGAGGAAACTTGTAACTTTAGTCTCAAAAGAGATTATCCAACAATTGAAATACACTTTAATTACACTCTAATTGTAACTAACCATTGCAACTCTCAGACAGGAAGTACCACGATTAAAGTCTTTAGAACTATCTGCAGTATGCTCAGAGAAATAATTTCTGCTAGGTATGTAAGCTTATCAAAAACTATGCTCTACACAGATGATTTAATACAGAATCTTGAACTGAGTTACCTGGGTAAGGATTTAATCTTGAACAGATTTACAACACTAGCTTGGACATTGTTGTTTACCTGCGCAGCACAGGTAAAACTGAAAGGGGAGGAAAATACTGACTCTAGCTACAAATTTATAGCTGAAAAGCACCGTGCCAGATAGTTATTTGATAAAGCACCTCTGTGAGTACATTGGTGCTTAAAGGTGACCTTTGTTGCCTGAGGAGACAGTGGTGGCACAAAAGCATAAAACTAACTTTCAATTTATCTAACATATATTACCAAAATAAGCCAAACACAGCCACTTTTTTTCTGAGCAGAACAGTTGCTTTTGTTGATGATTCACATTTTCAAAGCATTAAAAAATGAATTACAGTCTATTGCACTAAGGTATCTATGAACTGTAGCATGAAGGTAAGACTGCAATTGATGTCTTATTTGTATTGTGTTCATGTGGTAAGAGCAGTGAATGTTATTTGATTAAAACCTGTTCAGATCTAATATGCTCAAGTGATGTAAATCAAATATTAAATTGGCTATACATTGTCATATTAAAAAGGTCATTTAGGGGCATTTAAGATTTTTTTTACTTCTGTTGACTTGGAGAAATATGCCCTCAGACACCATCAATTGGTCTAAGTTATAAAAGAGGCTGTATATAACCTGCTATGATGAGCTGATTACACCCTGACATGATCTCTTGCAACACTCAATAACAGAGTCAGAAGCAAAATATCAGGTTGTTTAAAAAATGCCAACACAAACTGATTAATCACATATTCTTATAGAGTCTTTGTATGAACCTCTGCACTATTAAGCACATGCTTCTTATACTATATCACTTAAAAATTACACAAGACCAAAAGCATATCTGAATGCTGTGCTTTCTTGGTTTTCTTAGTATTTTCTAGTTAGAGATACATCTATTTTGTTCTAATGTGCCTTACAAATAATCTAGAGACTAATTAACTGTTGATCTAAAAGCACCTATCCTGTTGCCACAACAAACTTACTAGTCTGTTAATACTGTAACTAATACAAAATAATATTGAAATGTTAGTGTCAGTACAAAGGGAAGAAGTATGTGAAATTCATCCCCATATATTGCCCAAAACCAATAAACTCAACAATGGTAGATACACTAAACCTAACTTTTACTATTTGTACTAATGCCAACTGCACAGTGGCAATGTACACCTAATGATAATAACATTACAGGTGAAGAAATACATTATTTAAGGAGTTAGCATTGGCAACAGGATTACTAGTTTAAAAAGCTGTTTAAAATGAATAGGTTAAAATGTGTGACTACTTGAAGCATGCCTAGCATTATCTTTTTTCCACCCTTCCCTTGAGAATTCCTTGAAAGAAAGAACCACTTCATGAAGACTTGAAAACATTGCTGCCAAGAAGAACAAATGTTTCCTGTTCTTCAGTTCTTGATGTCCTATCATCTTGATCCAGCAATGCAGTTAAGCATTAGCCCAGCTCCGAGCACAGTAACAGTCCTACTGACAGTCTGTCATGAACTGTTAGTAAGTCTGATTGGTTCTTTAAAACTGTAAGAACCCAGAAAAAATAGGTTGTGTTCATTTAAAAAAACTGTTATCAAAAACAGTGGTTTCGATGGACAGATACCACTTAGCTGGCAGAACCTGTTGTTCATCTCAGAAAGCCACTGAGAATCTTAATGATGTTGCCCTGGATAACCAAAACAGGAAAATACATTTTTAAGCAAAAAGTAAGTTTTAACAGTGACCTTTTCACTATAAACAGCAAGTGCTGCATTATGCCTATTAATTCAGTTCGAATGCACCTAGTTTGGAAAAAGGAATGCATAATTCAGTCTCTGTAACAAATATAGCTGACCTGATTTTTTTCCCCCCCTGCTATTTTCCACCTTGTGTACCCCCCCCCCTGCTATTTTCCACCTTGTGTAGCTATTTGCCACCTGTCCTGGACACTGCCTTTGCACAGTTAAATCCAAAAGTGCAGGTGACAGCTACACAAATCAAGACATTGTATAAAAGGTGCCTGGTGAGATAAATGAAAGCTTTTAAAGCAGTTAACTGATGGCAGTAACTCTGCATTTTCACATCTGTTGTACATGTAGCTATTTTTGTTTAACGATATTGCTCTGTAATCAGGTGTTGAATACATTACAAAACAATTTTGTGCATTCTAGCTTGAGACCAGATGGATAAAGAGGTGGTTGCTGTACAAAGATAAGATAAAATCTCCAGACCTAGCATTCCAGGAAGCAGAAGAACTGCATGGCTTCCTTCTCCTGTCTGCTGGTAATGCAAGTGGACTCCATTCACTTGGATTTTGGCCGATGTTATTGAGGTGCTAGGGATGGAGGAAGGAGAAAGAAATAGGAAAACATTCAGACAGTTAATTCTCATTACTACCTGTTCACTCAAGGAATACAGAATAATTACTTTTTCTAGATATTAATGACAATACAGTGATATTTAAATGGATCACTTGGCTTTCATGGGTGCACAGAAGATGGACAAAAAGGTTTCTCAGGAGCAGACAGGTATTCAGTTGTGACCACTATGTAGCATACATACTTAGGTTTCACAAATGTAGTTAAATGACTAAAGGGCAGGGGAAAAAAAAAAAGTTTTGATGGTGCAACAAGGAGACTATAAAAGCAGCTTTACATGGCTACAGAAAGGTATTGAACTAAATACATTAGAGAGGAGAAACACCTCATTCTGTCACAACAAAACCTTTGAAATGGCTGGTGTTCACATTGTTATTACTAAATTGAGCCTCTCCATCTGCCAAAGAAACCACAGCCCATTGTTACAGTTCCTCATGGACCACAGGGTCTACAATGAAAACCAATTTGCCCTGAGATGAGGGTGGAGAAGAAGAATGTGATAATAATATTTCTCTAAGTGTAATCTCAGCAGGAGATAATGCCTAATTGGAAAATACCACATGACCAATAAACCTACCCACTAAAAAATTATAACAGAAACCAACTGCATAGGCCCCAACCCTTAAACCCCTGCATTCACCTTCCGTGCAGAGCAAGACCGTTGCATAAATGCAGATAAGTGACCTGAGATGCCACGTCAGGATACAAACATGTCAGGATTTCTACTAGTGAGAAAGTAGAAATAGAGCATAGATTGATTGAAAATATCTTCTTAATAGTATAAAACACTGCATCTGTTCAACCAGGCAAGTTCATACCCTAATGATTGCAAGACAGGTTTTCAACAACCTAACTCATTTTATTTAAAGGCAGTAATATGATACAAATCTTGCCATTTGGTTACCTAATGACTAACTCTCATTCCCCATGCTTCTCAGTTTAACTAGATTAAATACTCTTGCCCTATGAATTCAATGTGAATTCCACAAGCATACAGACATGCTGTTTCCTAGTCTTAGATGTAATAATGATCTCAATTCCATCATACGCACTGTGCATTTATTACAAATTCAATTTTAACATATAAAGTCTGAACTACTTACAGTATGTCCCATCCACATAGACTTTGAAATGGTGGATTACAGGTAAAACTTCATGGAATCACTAAGGTTGGAAGAAACCTTTAAGATCAAGTCCAACCATCCACATAGCACTACCACAGTAACCCTTAACCACTAAACTGTCTCACCCAGTGCTAGATCCAGGTGCATCTTAAACACCTCCAGGGATGGTGACTTCCCCACCTCCCTGAGGAACTTATTCCAATGCCTGACCACCAAACAGTGAAAAAAAAATGTTGTAATATCTAATCTGAATTTCCCCTGTCTCAGTTAAGGTCATTTCCTCTAGTCCTCTCACTGCAGGCATGGCAGAAGAGACCAGCCCCCACCCCACTACAACCTCCTTTCAGGTAGTTATAAGAAAGCAATGAGATCCCACCTGAGCTGCTTCTTCTCTAGACTAAAGAAACCCATCTTTGTCTAATCCCACTAATGTAAACTCTTTTCAAATGGGAAATGAACAATAGCTTGCAAACTCAGGTTCCCAATTCATAAGTGGCAGTTTGATGACAGAACTTGTTCAACACAAAACCATTTGAATTTTACATAAAATCTTAGGTCTACATGATCTGTCATGCCACGTGCCCAAATACAAGCTGTGACTGTGCAGAATAGAATCAGTTCCTTCTGACTGTGCAGATCCAGTTTGAGAATCAGGGTACAAAAGCAGATCTGAGGCAAGACTGCAGCTCAAGGAAACTCATTGTATGATAAAACTTCAGTGAGTTTTGTTGAATTGTTATGCTAATGTGATCCAAGTGATTAGTTTGACTGTAATGTTAAACCTCCTTTAAGTCTGTCTCACACCTGACGTGGCTTACCGTGCTTTACAACTTGAATTCTGATGGCTGCCTTACCCTCTTTTTGAATAACTGACTTTCACATTTTTCTCTTTATAAAAGAATTATTTCATTCTTGATAGACCTTCTTTTGCTTTGTCATTAATTTCAACAGGTATTTCATCATAGTTATCACCACAGCAAATGAACACCTTGCTCTTATATAAATATGTGACTAATTTTTTGCTTCTGATTAATAATTGCCAAAGCCACTTTCAGTTCCTAACAAAACAGTAATAATCATCATCTTGTTACCCATTTTTTAAAAAAAAGGTTAGCAACATGTAGTTTCAGTAGACAGAGTTCTATATTCTGCTTTCCTTATTCAGATGATTGACTTTTTTTTTTTACAGATTTCTAAATTTTTTAGGATTAATTATTAACATCAGGGGTCTGAGAATTTTGCTGAGTTTGTGGTGCTTTTCTATCCTTGGATTGTGCCTCGGTGTGAAGTCCAGTGAAATCCAGGAGTTTCACACAGAGAGTATTTTCAATACTCTCTGGATTTCAATACTCTCTGTAAAATTCCTCTAGGAGTTGAGTTTTTTATGCACTGAGAAACTGTGTTGGAATGGCCTACACATAAGGCAGGTTTGGTCTTCCCCACATCAAGTTTCTGTGAGCCTGAAATCATTTCAGTATGCTTGTCAGTGTGATGACTTCACTGAAGTTGTCATGAAGTTGTCATTTTCCATTGGTTGGCATAACTAGAAACCGTGGTGAAACAAACCAAACAAACAAACCCTGCTATTTGGTAACTGAATTAGTAATGTTAAGGTTTATAGCTCTTTGAGAAGCACTAGATACTGTAATACTGCCTATATTTACCAAGACAGCAGAGATGCAGAGTAGGCAGATCTTGTACTTCACTTCATACTCTGTTTAGAGTGCAGCTTAATCTGGGAACTACCTCTGTTCCAGCTGTGCTACAATACAACCTAGCCTTAACCTGTGCAGGGCAAAAAAACATAGTACTATGTCAGCTTTCCTTAATAGGATTTGCAGAATAAGCAGTATTATATATATTAGACATATGTATTCTCTTTGCTACCTCGGCGACCGGCAGGGAGCTCCTTATCCGCAGGGGGCAGAGGGGCAGGCGATCAGCAGCGTGCTGCCTTGGGGGGAAACGGACAGGCAGTGGGGAGAGGCTGCGGAGCCTTCTCGTACAGCTGCTCGCAGCACGGAAAGCAGAAGCAGGTTCCACGGGAAAGCAGAAGCAGCTCCTCGGGATACTACCCGAGTCCTCACTTTGTCACACACACACACACGACCTAGTGCAAACCCCTTTGCTAAAAAAACAGCACCTTCGCCAAGGCCCGGGAAGGGAGGAGGCAGCTGGGGAAGGAGAAGGAGGCGGCTGCAGATTTTACCCGTAGCAGGCGGTCGGGGCGCGGGGCAGGAGCGGCG